CGTCCTCCCGTTACCCTAAGCTCAGTATACCGCGAGCTACAGCTTGCGGTATACTGAGAAGAGGTCTGGCTACAACTCATTCAATCGCAGGCGTTGTTGGTGGGAGTAGTCCAGTCCATTGCCTTTCTTCACTCAGTCGCCAGGCTTTTTAACCAGGAACGCTACTTTGACTGTGCGGCCTCCTTGCCATTGGGGTATACTGCGCATGTGCACGCCATCTTGGCTTTTACACATCTTGCCTGTGTAGCACGACTGGTCTCAGATGCATCCTGAAAAAATCTTTGCCCCTCCCAAGCATTTTCCTCATCAATATCCTATTGAAAATAGGTTTTTAAATAAGAGGGCTGTCCTACTCATGGACCAAGTCCTTTCCTGTCTTAACAAAATATAAATGGCCCCTGTTAAGAATGTCTAAGTAATTAGGGACAATTACTTAGAAGCCCTTTTCAAGGCCTTATTCTTCCTTGCAGGATTTGCTAGGCAACCTGCAGTTGCAACCGCATCAGTCTGCCGCACTGTAGCTGCCTGCTCTAAGACCATGGCTTGGGACCCTTGATCCCTTGATCCTGGATCCTTCTGACCTCTAATAACTGGAGCTCTTGTCCATGGCTTTGCACTACTGTGATGATGGGCTAGCAGATACACTTTACCAGATGTCCAGGTTGGGCCTCCTTTCAGTACATATGACTCTAATGTTGATTTTGTGTAGTTTCCATTGAAGAAGTGCCCTCCTTGGACACCTATATCAAGAAAGTAATGGGGAAGAGTATCCTTTTATCCTAGAAAAAAAAGTCTTAAACTCCTCCAAGTCCAAGTCTAAGCCAGGAATACAGTTCCACCGTAAAACCTGGATCTCCAGACTCGGTGAGTCTGGAAACAAGCCTTTCCCTCAATAAGAGGGCTCCCTTACTTCTCAGAGTGCAAAGATGCCTGTCAGCTTTCTCAGCCATCTGGTTTTAGGATATCTCAGATGCCTAAGTTCAGAACATCAAATCCAAGTATGCAGAGTATGCAGAGTTTTCACATCAGAGTCCCCTTCTTTCACATCAGAGTCTCCCCATTCACATTAGTAGCCCCCTTTAGCAAAACCTTGAAGGCATCCCTTACAATACCAAAAGACTCTCCAGTTGAGAAAGGATGGTTTAAAGAATAAGGTTCCACTCTTTCCTGTCATGGTGCACCCAACCAGATTAATCAGTGCTTCAAGGATGCTTCAGCATCAGGTATCTGTTTCTCAGATTTTTAAGGTTGGTACCTGGTCTTCTGTTCACATGTTTATAAAGTTTTACCAGGTGGCTATTCACTTGAGTTCTCTTGAACCCTTATATTGCTTCTTTAAGATTTGTTGTGTTGCAACCCCTTAGTTGGACTGTTTTTCCGAGTTACGTTTAAGAAAACTGGATTTTTGTCTTACCTGTAAAATCCTTTTATAGATAAAGTAGATTATAGGACATTGGTCCTTCCCCTCTGTTCTTATTAACCATTCCTATTTTTGCTTGCTAAAAAAAATGAGGCTTGCTGGGAGTGGGAGGGGTTATACAGGGCTGTCCTTACACTTTTGCTTTGCCAGTGTGTAATCTCCTGCCGGCAACTACATAACCCATGGTTTAAGAATGAATTCCTGTGTCTTGTAAGGGTTTCACTGGTAAGACAAGAATCCTATTTTTCTTACAGAGTTTAAGAAATGAAGCCTGCAGTTTTCAGGCCTTGCTCTTAATGTGGAAGTATGAGCAAAATAAAAAATGGCAGATGTAATTAAGTATTTCACAAAAATTAACACAAAATAGTGACAGACTGCACCATACAGTATATGTCATTTTTATTTTGTCCATAGTGTTCCATATTAAGAGCAAGCCTGAAAACTGCAGTCTTTTGTGTACCTACATGGCAGCATACATGTGGTTGGGGGCAGGGAACCAATCACATGTATGCTGCCATGTACAGGTACCAGGAAACTAAAATTACGGATAGTTAAGTACTCAATTTTCTGTTTTCCTGGGACCTACGTGACAGCATACATGTGGTTGGGGGTGGGGAACCAACCACGTGTATGCTGCCATGTACAGGTACCAGGAGAAGAATATTACGGATAGGTAAGTATTCAATTTTCTGTTTTCCTGGTTCCTACATGGGCGCATACACGTGGTTGGGGTCAGGGAACCAACCACTTGTATGCTGCCAGGTACCAGGAAAAGAAAATTACGGATAGGTAGGTATTCAATTTTCTGTTTTCCTGGAACCTACATGGTAGTATACACATGGTTGGGGGCGGGGAATCAACCACGTGTATGCTGCCATGTACAGGTACCAGAAAAAGAAAATTACAGATAGGTAAGTATTCAATTTTCTGTTTTCCTGGTTCCTACATGGCAGTATACACGTGGTTAGGGGCGCGGGGAACCTGCCATGTGTAAGCTGCCATGTAGGTACCAGGAAAAGAACATTACGAATAGGTAAGTATTCAATTTTCTGTTTTCCTGGTACCTACGTGGCAGCATACACGTGGTTGGAGGGGGAGAGAGGCTGGAAGGACTGTTCTAAAAACAAACCGGCTCCGTGGTTCAGGCGAGTATAACTTTTAACCTAGATAAAAATGAGCCGTTAACCCTTGCAGTGCGGGGTAGCCACATGAGAATACCAACACAGCTTGAAGCAGCTTAGAAGGAGGTCAATTGCAAGTGAAAAGGTGTTCAAGTGCAGGTCATAAGTACCTCTGAAGGAATTCAGATGAAATTGAGAACATCTCAAACTGAACGCCAATGAAAACTGAGTTTATATGAAAGTACACTTCATTTGCCCAACACTTTTTTGTGTCCTATTTCCTTGAGCTGGCTCCTTAGGGGTCATATTTGACTCATACTTCCCGTTCTTTACACGTTTAGATTCTAACTACCCAACCCCTACAGCTAAGAATCGCCTCTTTTGTCACTTAAGTTGACCATGCACTGTTATATTTTTTTCTTTCAAACTGCGGGCCGAACAAAAAAGAAAAATAGAAGAGATTCCTCTATCCACACTAAACAGCATGTATGGGTGAATCTCCTGCTGGGCTATTGTAGTCTGACATTGGCGGGTTTGCCACTGACAGAATACATGAATAGTGGCAGCAGCTGAATGGCTGCAATCGCTGGTCATCTAAGAATTTTCCAACTGGCTCCTTCGTTTTTCTGATCATAGGATGCAGGATGGAAGGCTGCGGACAGGGCCACCCATTGAATGAATTTTGGACAGTGTATGACAGTATGACTAATGGGCCACTAACAAGCATACTGCTGCTAAAACCATTTTCTGTGTTGGCTACTGCAATACTCTATAATCTAGTCCCCTTCTAACCTGGTATGAATGCTGTATCATTAACTTATGCAGCTCTCAAGGCATTGTGTACATTTAGCCTTTCTCTGACAGTCTCTCCAATGGCTCACCATAGTCTATATCAGTGGTTCTCAACCTTTCTTGAGTCATAACACTAGGGATGCACTGATACCGATACTAGTATCAGTATCGGTGCCAATACCCCAATACCGAGTATTTGGGTGAGTACTCGTACTCGCCCAAATGCTCCGATTCCTTCCCCCGATACCGGAACTTCCGGTCAGAGGAAGATTTCCTCTGACCGGCAGTGCCATAGGGGAACATGGTGCTGGCTTCCCGACCAATCAGGAAGCCCAGGAGGCGGGTCATTACTCCCCGACCCGGCTTCTTGATGCACCGGTATCGGTACTTGGTATCAGCGAGTACCGAAAGTAAAATATTGGTACTCACTACCGAAAAAACGGTATCGGTGCATCCCTACATAGCACCCATTACTTACCCCCGTGAAGGCCGCTCAACAGCATCGTATCAACCGGTGATGGTATCAGTTGCTATGGTCCTGTCGGGTGGCTTTCACAGGGTAGTAGCTTGTGCTGCTGGGCCAGGGGAGAAGCAACAAATGATAAAATTGAACGTTGGCCGGCGGCCTGCACAGCATACTTTGTTGCCTCCCTTGGCCCTACTACCCTTTGAAAGCATGACAGGACCAAGCAACCGATGACATCACATGTTTCTACATTGCTATTGGGCGGCTTTCACAGGGTAGTAGTTTGTGTTGCACGGGAGAGGCATACAAAGTATGCTGTGCAGGTTGCCGACCAGAAATCAATAATATAATTGGTTGTCAGGGAGTGAGCGGGCACCCAACTGATTCCTAGAAACCGATGATGCTGTCAGCGGACACAGTTTAAGATTTTGCTACTGCAAGTGGGCAGTAGGGAGGTGGGAAAGGACACTGAACTGGATCCTTAGGCTGGGTAATAATTAACTGACTTGTTGGAAATTTTTGTTTCCATTTTGCCACGGCACCCCTGAAGAACTCAGGTGGCACACCAGTGTGCCGCAGCACCCCGGTTGAGAAACATTGGTCCACATGCAGGATACAGTTTAAAGTCTTCAATATTTTTTATTTATTTAGGGAGTGTTTTAGGGCAGTTTATTTTATTTCATTTTGCGTTCTACATACAGTATTCGTTTTTTTTCTTTTATATCTATTTGATAGTTATTTGTGTAATATTTCTTTCAATTTTCTTATCTTACTTTTATGCATTGTCTGTTTTTTTTTCTTTCTGTTAAAATAGTTAAACAATGTGGCTAATGAGCTGCTTTTTTGGTACAAGAACGGGTTCAAGATAGTTAAAATGAGTTCCCGTAACACTCAGAATCCAGTTAGCGCCCACTGAACCTTAAAAACACCCAAAACACTTTAATTGTACCTTTCCCTTTGACTCCAATCCATTTAGCCAAAATGGTGACATTTTGATGGAATTTCCAGATTTTTATGGAATTTTGAGGGAATGAAAGCTCTCAGTTTCATTCACCCCAATTTCTCAAGCTCTTAATTTTCTATAGTGTTGTAGTTTTCAATAAAAATAATAATTATTATTATTTTACATGATATGTGGTTTAAAATTATTCTTGTTCTGATCTCATGCTGCAACCAGCCCTGATTTGTCTTCCACAAACAGATATGACAGAGTGGATACAAGCCGCTGCATCAAATCCTGTAGGCCGAATGACGTTAGCTGTATTATGGATCCGGTGCATACAATATCCAACCCAATCGTCTCCCTGCCCACCTTCCGGGAATTCAACCAACCACAAGGTAAGCTTGGTGAAAAGAACTGAATATACTTTTTTTCAGGGGATATCGAAGATGGTTTATTAAACCAGAGCAAATGTGGAGTGGTTGCCTTCAGTAATCAGATGGTCAGTTTTATTGGAAATGTGCTAAAGGCAGAACTTTGGCTTCGGTTTTTATTAACTATCCCTGTTGTAGTTAAAAGCATACTTTTCCCAGGAACAATTATCATTACTTCCATGTACTAAGCCGAATCATGTTCATTATGTTACATGGGATTTATATTTTTGTCTATTTTTGTATATTTTGCCGTGTCTGGCAGGAGATGTAATTTTTCTCCTTTTACAGGTCATGTGCGCCTGCTGCCCCCTGCACACTGCCCCCTTTCTGGCCAGAGCATCCCTTGTTGCTAAGCGCTCTGACATGACCTCACTGGTTGCTAGGAGCTGAGTGGGATGCTCTGGCCAGCTTCCCGCAAAGCTCCTGGCATCCAGTGATGTCAGTGGGCTGGGCAGGATGCTGGAGAGAGGCAACACCGTCCCCTTTTCAGCCAGAGTGTCCCAGGTTACTAAGAGCTCTTAGGAACCTGTGGTGCTCTGGCTGGTGCCCCGCCCAGCTCACTGACGTCACTGGTTGCCAGGAGCTAAGCAGGATGCTCTGACCGGCGTTCTGCTGAGCTCCTGACAGCCAGTGATGTCAGTGAGCTGGTCAGAGAGAGATAACCAAACCTCCACACAGTTATCCAGCTAAACCACCCGCCCTCTCACCAACTGTGCACCTTTGTTCTATCAAAGTTTGTCACTGCGTTAGAATGTGTGACCGGTAATGTGGTCACACATTTTAACCTAATCCCGCCCAGTTTTTCAGCGTAAAATATGTGACCGCAAAAGGTGAAGAATTCCAGCTGTTCCAGGGCAGATCGGCATCGCAGGAGAACAAATCTGCCCTGATACAGCTGATCGGTCCTGAAATGTGACTTATATCTGACTTTGTGACTGCAATCTCACATTCCACAACGTCGGATAGAAGTGACATTTCCAGACGGATCAGATGTTACAGGGCAGATTGGTTTTCCTGCACATACGATCTACGATGCTGACCTGCCCTGGAACATCTAAAATTATTCACCTTTTGCCGGTCACATATTTTACCGCAGAAAATATAATTAATTATGTAAAAATGTGTGACCACGTGACCGGTTACACATTCCACCGCTGTCACAATCTTTGATAGAACACCACTAGCACCCTCACCCTAGAAAACGCACCCTGGGAATAAGCTACATATTTCTGCTTACTTCGTACCTCCGATATCTATTTAACCCTTGCTATTTGGGGGAGGCCACTGCATACTGATTTTTATCCCAAAGACCCAGTTATTTCTCAATTGGGACAAACAACCATTAGCTGTTATGCAATACCAAGCTGTCAATCACAGCCCTTACATTGACAGCAATGTGTCACTGCAAGCGGTCAGCATATGCCAGCGGACAGGAAGAGTGGATAGAGACAGAGGTGGGGGATTTGCTACTGAATTCAGACAAAAAGTCAAAATGTGCAGATCGGTAACCGCACTGTTTAGTCTGCTTGGCCTGCACATGACTTTGAAACAGCTTCTGGCATGGATTTACATGATTGGGAAATGGAAATGACGACATTTACAATTGGTCTTTATTTGGTTTTGATGACATTATTGCTTTGTGAGTGGTGAAAAAAGTGCTGACATTGATGACGCATAATCCTATGCTCTTGCAGATATCATCTTCCTCCGGGCTATAACTCCAGCGTATTCTGTAGGACCTAAGCCAGACATTCAGTTTGCTATAACAGAGGGCAATCTGAGAGATTCCTTTGACATTCAGAAACGGTGGATAGACGGAATGACTGTTGGTAGGTAATGGTTTATGTACACTTCTGGTATGTGATCTGTTCTGTCTCAACCATGGATTTATGTACGTTGTATTTGCACATACCTTCCTTAAACGAGTCTGTACGGATGGTATGTCAACCTATTGAGCTGATGGTATTCACATGCAGGGTCTAACTCACCAAGATGACTCCGAGTGGAATCCAATATAGTTTACTCAGGCTTGACAATACAAAGGATGTGATTCCTTGTCATTGTCAGAGGTGGAAGGACATTTCTATCTGAAACCTTGTACAGCATGAACAGAACCCTCTTAATAGTGTGAGGGAGAAGTGAAAAGAAAGCGGGAAGGAGAGGCAATTACCACTAAACATATATGGGAGGGTGAATTGAAGATACCAAATGTATACAGAAATAAGCTGTAGTAATGCTAATCTACCACTAGTTGTCAGGAGCTTACCATAACATGATGATACGCAATGAATATACAAAACAGTGCAATAAAATAACAGAAAACAATACTAGCTGTGGCAGCACATGATCAGTAAACAGAGGCAGGGGCATGTGTGGTTATACTTCTAAAAGTACCCAATCAAGACAGAATTTGAAGCTAAGGGTTTATCTGCCAATAGTTTGCCTTCCCTTGTTCCTCCCAACCCCATTATCAACATGATACTGGGATTTTGAAAGAAAACTTTTCTGAGATCAGCCTTAAAGTGACATTAAACCCTCAGATTTTTTAACATAAACCAATACTGTAATGTGTGCCTTATTGCAATCCATGGTAGTTTCCCTTCTCTTTGCTGCTCTTCCTTTTAAATCTGTATCTCTTCTCATGCTTGGGGAGAACTTCCCTTTGCAGCTGGTTGCCTCTTCCCTTAGTGCTGGCTCAGGTTGCAAACCTACACACAGACACCATGTATCCATTCCAGAGACAAGGCAGACTGCTACAAAACAGAAGTTCTGGCCAGCATGAGAACAGATACAGATTTGAAAGAAAGAGCAGCAAAGAGAAGGGAAACAACCATGGATTACAGTAAGGCACACATTAGTATTGTTTTATGTTAAAAAATCTGAGGGTTTAATGTCATTTTAAGTGTAACTTTTGTATATAGTAGGGAAGGGTTAGAACCCCTTACAGGTTTATGTTTCTGTCTGTGTCCTGTAGAGAGGACAGGAAGTGAGGGAATATCTCTTCAAAGTGAGAGAAATCCTCTCATAGACAGTTGCCACTGGAACAAACAGGGCTGGATTTCCCACAAGGCCGACCGAGGCCTAGCCTTGGGGCAGCAGGGAGTAGAGGGCAGGGGCGTCCCGAGGCTGGGTGACACCCGGAGCGGTAACCGAGTGTCACCCCGCCGAGACGTCACTGCGCATGACGTCAACGCACGCGTGCGCGATGACGTAATTGCGCACACGTGCGACAGTATTCTGATACCTGCCGGCGGCCATCTTGGTGATGGACACTGGCAGAGAGAGGAGGGGACAGTCACCTCCTCTCTCCAGATACTGTTGGGCGTTCGGTCCATGACCGAGCGCCTGACTTTTCAGAGGGGGGTGAAACCAAAATGACTGTGAGTTATTTTGGTGTCACCCCTCCAATGGTGTCACCCGGGTGCGTCACAAGGGGGGTGCGGACCCCCCTTGTGATGCCACTGGTAGAGGGGCAGCAGGGGTGTGCAATACCTATCTCCCGATGCCCAGGACATGCAGTTCCGGGCGCTGGGCGGGTAATTGTTTTCTACATTTAGCCCTGCTTTGGGCAAGCAAGGCTAAATGTACAGCAGGGAAGAAGCCGCTTGTTTTGTACAAGTGATCTCTGCCATGTCGCCGATATCACTTGTATGCAGCCTGTATACAGGGGGGCGCATTGAGGAACCTGGCATTGGGGCAGCAGAGAGAGTAAATCCGGCCCTGGGAACAAGTGTCCCCATTGGAAGATTTACCCTCTATTTCTTTTCTGGTGACAACTCAAAACGTTGGATTTTCCTTTACCTTCTGTTAGGATGACAGGAGAAATAGAGGGGTGAGTGTCCGCAGCAGGGACAAAGACAGAAATAAGAACCTGACAGGGGATCTAGACTCTCACCACTCTACCCAAAACTAATATACATTTTAAGCTTTAAATATACATTGAAGTAGAACTCCAGACAAAATGTATTTTCTTTTTTTTGATAGAAAGAGCAGAGAACAGTTAGAACTTCAATTATTTTTTTATTGCTGGTTGTTTAACCATTGAGGACATTTCCACTACTTTCCTGTCTCAGATGCACAACAGGAAGGGAGAGGAAATTTCCGTAAAGTGGGGAACATTTCCAGTCGTGTTGTATGTATTTTTAATACCTGTTATCAGAAGTACCAGCAATTTGTCTTTACATTAGTTTCCCCTGCACACTAAAATGCAGACCAATAGGTTTATTTCTAAAACTTACACCCACCCAGCTATACTTCTTAGCGCCATCTATGGGCAGTAGTGCCATATGAATAGCATCTGTCCGACGTATAGGACTAGCACCCCTAGATGGCGCTGAGGAGTATATCTGGGCAGACGTTTTACAAATGAACCCGTAACAGTGAGAGGGCCAGTAAGGTCATCCACTTAGGCACTTTTTACATTCCACAATGCTCTACCATGCTGGGAGGGACAGAGATGACTTTAATGTCCTCCTGTCCCTTTGCTATCCAATCAGTAGCTAGAGAGATTTTTTTTTTTAATGAAGCCTTTGTTTTATAGCCTAGCATATAGTGTGTTTGATATCTGTCTGGATACATGCTGCAAGTAGTAAAAATGTTTTTCTAAGCTCCTCGACCTATGCCCCAAGCCATTCTTCCGTAAAAACTGTCATTACGTCTGGCTGGCCCACACAGAGGGGTTGCTGTCTATAGTACAAACTGCAATTGACCTAATGGTTTCCACCAGATAGAGTTAATGTTTTGGCTACACCGAAGTCTTTCTTCTCAGCAAATACAGAACGGCTCCCTTTTAAGTACAGCCAAGTGTTGACAGCAGCCTATTAAGGAGCAACACAGGTCAATGTCAATACCATCATTCAGGCTGAATAGTGGCATCAAGTCATTCATTTTTATTTTCTCTACATAATGTTACTCCGAAATTACTTTAGGTCCGCCACTCCCTCTTGCTGCTCCCCTCCTTGGAAAGGGCTCTCTATGGGCCGAGTGGCTGCTGATTCTCCAACTTTTTGCAGTTCTCCTCTGCTGCTGAAGCTAGCATCCAGAAAGCACCTCTGCCTCACTCACAAGCCACCCACAACCACGATGGGGAACTGGAAGAGTCAAAGAAGCAATGTAGTTCTGCAAAGAGGTAAAGAGTTTGGGAGGTGTACATTTTGGAAGCAACAAGATGTAGCAGTAGACCTAAAATACATTTGTGACTGTAGACCCCTTTTTTAAACATTCATGTTAGACTTCACGTGCTGCTCTTAGCAAGGTGCATCCAGGTAGTCATTTTTCTTGGTTTGATAAAATACATGAAAAACCCTAACAATGAACTTCTCTTATCTGCTCCCTTTTGGTCTGTTCAATATACCATTGAAAGTGTGGTTAGAATTGTTCGATAAATGCAAAAAAACAAAGAAACTGCTGATCCTGCCAAATGTCTTGTGAAATAATAACTTCCTGTGCTGTCTGCCTGTGCTGACTGATATCAGTTGCATTGTTCCTAGCTTTCTCTATAGGCTACAGAACACCTCTCGTAACCTATAGAGAAGAGTAGGGGGTGTTCCATAGCCCAGTTCTAGGGTAAAAGCGCTGCTCCTCCACATATACAATGCAGTTAGTGAGTGTCGTCACCGTAGGATGGGCAGCCTATTATTGGCAGGATCAACAGGTGGAAATAGAGGAAATGGCGCCTGAAAAAAAAAGAAAATGAATGCAGCCACCACATCTAAGGACTGTTATGCTGCAGTATAGTTTTCTTTTGTTTGCTTTTAGATTTACCATTTTTTTTCATGCAAACATATGGGCTTGTAATGTGGCCTGCAGTTCAAAAAGCAGGCACCCCTGAAGTTCCTGCTTGTATCATCAGATTATCTTCAAACCACCCTGGAACCCCCAAAACCTGGGATGTTCTGTTTTCAAGCTATCAACCACAGCTTACTAGGTTGAAATCTAGCCTAAATAATTCCAGCCCCACATAGTTAGTCAGGTAGAAAAAAGACACAAGTCTATCGAGTTCAACCTATAAGTCCATCGAGTTCAACATGTCCCTTTTGGCCACCAAAAGCAATGGCGGAGCTGGACTAGAGGGAATAGGGGACTGGTCAATCCCCAGGCCCATAAACTTTCACCTGACAGCGAGGAAAAAGTTAATCCTGTGTAAGCTATCCAAGATGTAGCTTGCACAAGGTCAGAACACTTGGCTTCAATGGGGAGAACAGTGCAGTTAGGTGGCTGGTTATGCCTGGGTGATGGGTTTTGCCCAGAATGGACAAAGTGACAAAGTCTCTTTAAACCAGTGTTGAGCAAGAGCCTATAAGGGAAGAGGAGTCAGCTCTATTTACCTTAAGCTGCAAAGTATCTTGTGATGCCTCTTTTTGCAACCTCCATACTCCTTTTTTCCCTCTTTCTATAATGTTGAAAGATTTACCATCCACTGTAGCCACACAGTGCAAAAAGATAAAAGGAAGACATTAGATAGCTAATCTAACAACCCTAGGCACTAGCCAAAGGAGGTCTTTATGATAAATTACCAAATATACCCATCGCCTTCTGAATTCTCTTATGTTTAATTGCAACCTGCAGACAAAATGGCCACTGGTACATTTATCATACCATGCCTGGAAAGCTACAAAAGAGACAGTGGCCGCAGAGCACGGCCAGATGTTTGATTCCGAAAGCATTAATGCCAAATGTTGTTAGGCCTGTTTAAGAATGAGTGATACCAGAGAGCTGCCTTTTTTGTCAGTTTAAAGAACTTTGGGTTTGCCGAGGGGCCAAAAGCAGGCTCATTCTGAAGCCATTTTGCTCATGCCAAACCCCAAAGATAAGTATACTCCCTCTGAGGTCAGTGCTAGCCCTCTTTCTGATCATAATACTTGTATCGGGCCCAAACCTCACTTGAATTCTAGCTACTTCTTTTTCTTTTCTTGTTTTGTTATTTCAATCGAACTTCTGTATGTGGAATCTGTTGCCTATAAACTCACGGCTTTCTGCAAACCGAAAATATCATTGAGGTTTTCTTTAAACTGTGTCATATAGACAAGAAAAATACCCAGTAGTTATTAGAAGCGTGTAAATACGAACGGGCGTCTGACACCGTGAATTAGCCGGGCTGGATGGGCCAATTTGATTAAGGAGGCCGCGTTCTGCGGAGCATTACTAGATGCTGGCTGGACAGTATTACTTGGGAGAAAGGAAGTGGGGGGTGTGAGGCAAAGCAGCGCTGTTCCAGAATTCCATGCTTGTATTTGGAACTACAAGTTCCGACATGTTCCTTTATGACCGAATGGGTGGACAATGGTGGGCTGATTCATTATACCTCTTTTGGACTTTAGCAGGGAGATCTACAGTTGGAGTTTGCAGCTCTGCCTATACATTTTGAACTTAAGTCTCAGTCCTTTGATAAAAATCAAATCAAATTGGGGGAGTTGGGGGGCTTTTTATAAAAGCTGCCAGAGACACAGCCAATCAGTTGCAGTCACTGTTTGGGTATTTGGCCAAAACTTTTTGTATTGGTCCTTCAATAAAAGTCGACTGAAGAAACAAGTCAACACGACCAGTGAATGGCATCTGTGGAGGAGGAAGGTTGGTTACGTTAGGTTAGTGCAAAGCAGCAAATAGGATAAGTACACTTATCTTTTTATGATTTTCTATCCAAAGCAAAAAAAGTGTTAAAAGAGCTGAAGACAAAAAATTAAAGCACGTTATTTAAATAGTCACCCTTCACACAGTCAAAAAATGGTTAATGAAAGATCTGACATGTTTCCCACGCAGTAAATTAGGCATAACTCTTGCTTATGTACCCAGGTTAAAGGCACTGGTCATGTAATCTCTGCCAGCGGACTGGCATTCAGGCAGAGCTTGCCTGTTGGGCATCTTTGCCGAAGGCCTCATTCACACTGTTAAGAGCCAGCCCGTACAGATCCGTGCAGCGTGCACGGCCACATCAGGCCGCTCCCGGGAAGGACAGGTGCTGCGTGTGATTGTACGCAGCAGCCTGTTCTTCTCTATATGAGTACGCTGCCCTATGCTCAACCGAACTGCACATCCATCCTGCCTGCATAGGAATAAGGACACCCGCACCCGCACGGATGTGCAGTTCGCGTGAGCATACAGCGGCGTACGGCTGCGTACTCCCATAGAGAAGAACAGGCTGCTGCATACAATCACATGCAGCACCTGTCCTTCCCAGGAGCGGCCCGATATGGCCATGCACGTCGCACGGATCTGTACGGGCTGGCTCTTAGCAGTGTGAATGAGGCCTGTATCCCCCGCTCTGGTGGAGACTTTATACCCAATGGCTTGGCATTGATCATGTGAACAGGCACTGGAGGAATCCAGGGCAATTAATAGAGAAAAACGCAAACGTGGAAGTATATGGAAATGGAAGGTAATTTGCAGCTTTCATTTTCTAACCTCAACAAGATAAATCTCAGTGGTAGTTTGCTTGACTGGCATTGGGAAATCTCCCACTCTCTTTTGCACTATAACCTTCTTCTTCATCAATATTAAAACTGTATTTTGGTTTAACTTTGTGGTCGTAACCGCGCCTTATCCTCTACAAGTTTTTCACTCTTACCAATTTTGCTCTTTGTGCAGGTGTGGTCCGTCAGATTAAACCCATTGTGGGTCCCTTCCACGCTACACTGAAACTGGAGATGAACTATGTGGTGGGCGGAGTCTTGTCTCATCGCAACATCGTCAATGTCCACATTTTCGTTTCTGAATTTTGGTTCTGAGGGACGTTACATCAGAATCCCTAATTTAACATTAACACCAGTTACCTTACTCTGATTTGTCATAATTAACAAATCATTTTCTATGTGTTAATACCATTCTATCTTCTTATGAAGACAGTAGTGAGGGACGCTGTACGATTTAGAAGAGAACCTGTAGTGTTGGAGACAACAGAGGAGGAGGGTAGGGACAATAGCCATGGGGGAACCTCCTGTTCCATATGTGCTCTATATCCTTTGATATCTAATCCCCACTCCCATTGTGATAAGTTCCATGCAGTTGTTATATGGCAGCTAAGAACCTGTATTCCAATGTAAACTTCTAAACGCTCAAAGTAAGATGCTATTACCTTTGATAGCCAGAAAAGACTCTTCTATGCTCATCTCTGATTTCATTTCACTTTGCTACTGGGTCCTGACTTCCCTGAATTCATGGATAAGCTCCAACCAATACCATTCCATTGTCCCATGAGAGAGGTTTTCTCATTGGACTTTGGAATGTCAGTTGGTGAAGCATGGCCATGAAGTCAGGTCCCAGTTAGGGCCCGTGTTTTGTTAACTTGAGAAGGGTTTTGCCTTCCCATACAATTCTATGCAAGCAAAATGCAGGTCTGAAGGAGGTCAACTGCAGATCAAATGGACATGTGAATGCATTCTGAATGAATTTATAGCATCTCAAGCTGATGTTGAACAAATGCCATTGTCACAAGCCCGAAGCCAATTAACACAGGTCCTAATACTATTCCAGATAACAATTGCGTCGTATGCTCTTAGGCAGGACATTTACATTTAAAAGTTTGAAAAATAAATACAGGTTCACTTTAAGGCTGGTAAAAAGTAAACAAAATGGAGGCATGAACGTTCAAAGCAGCCCTTAAAGAACAACTATCGCAAATATATATACAGTATTATATAATAGCCATAAATTCATCATACATATTCAAGCAGCAAAGAACAAAATTATTTTTATTTAGAAAAAAAGTACCTACCTACACAGGTATCTTCATTTTTTAGTATGCATGTACCAGGTACCAAATAGTGATGATGATGATGATGATGATGGCCTTGGTAGAAACCATATTTGGGAGATTGCAGGTTCAATGTATTTATTAAATGGAGGAAGAGGCCACAACAATTATGGGAATGTGCTTGCACCCTTTACCGGATCCATTGGTGCCATATTAGTTTTAGATCTATCCCTGTTTTCCAAACAGAAGAAATTACCTTCATCTTCAGCCAGGTAATGTTTGAACAAAGCCAACCTGCCCAGGTGTGACAGACATTGATTAATTCTTCTGTATAGGGTATGAGGCCCAGAGGAAAAGCCGTTAGTAAGGGCAGCTGTACTACATAGTGCATCTGATCAGCCCGGTAATACCCAAATTGGGGAAGAGGGTTCTGCAAACATGGCTTGGTAATTGAGAAGTCTATGTTCCTAACTTCCAGCTAGAATGAAGGGTTCACGAGTAATATGGGACTGTGGATCCAGTAAGGGAGTGCAAGTTCTCCTTTAACTATTGCAATAAAAATGACACCTTTCATTCAAAGTGGACCTAGCATTAGATATAATTTCTCAATTTAGAGCATGCATATGTAATGTGTAAGTGAAACACTATTCATCATCTATCACAGAGATCTATCACAGAGATCTATCACAGTATTCCCTCTGACAATGCCTACATCTGCTTTTCTCCCCAGAAGAACAGAACCATCTTTGTTTTGGGCATCATCCAGAGTTACCATCTACTTCCTGGAGGCAGCTGCAGGCTCAGAGATTATATGACCATGTAAACCTTGGTGTCTGTGCAGTTCTTGGCTGTGTTCACAAATGTCTACATGGATCAGCCCCCTCTGCAGCTTCTTACTTAGCTGCAGAGTTACAGTCTGGTCACTGGGGGAGAGGAAATGTTTCCACCTGCCTGTAGAAGACTGATGACACCATCTTAGCCTAGTCTAGTCAGCTTTTTTGTTTTTTTAATTATATTGTTTCTATATATTGTGACATGTCAGACATTATTCATGCAGACTTGCAGAGTTACTAAAAGGTTCACCCCCCCTTTTAAAAATGGTATCGTCCATGGCCGTCATCATCAATTTTTGGAAGCATCATCACTTTTTGAAAGTTGGTATATGTATATGTATTGTATCTAAAAATATGACACTTTCAGAAAACTTTCACTGACAGGGCCAATAATCATGTCTATATTCCCTCCTCCTTCAAAGCATTTACTTTATTACTAAAGTACAAATGAGCTTTAAAGTAGAAGCCACTATTTTGCCGATTAAGTGTTTTTTTTAAAATTTTGGTGAGTATAATTTATGTTCATTAAATAACATTGTTTTTAATGCTTCCGCATTTTTTTTCTAATATGATAATGTGCTATGTGTATTACTTTTGTGTGTTATTTCACCCAGGATGTTGTTGTAAATTGGATGTTTCTTTTTGGAAGTTGACACGTTCCAGTGATGGCATTAAATAAAGAGCACCGGTTGTCTGATTACTAAATGTAGAGTTGTGGCAATGTGTTCATTCACAATAAAACATTATGCTTTTCCTTAGCTTTTTACAACAATTTTTTATAACAATCCCCTTTTTTCCTCAATCACTTTACTATAACAATGTGGTCATTTGCAGAAGGCATGATGTCTTTTTCCATTTGCTGCCTCCCTCTTGGAAGAAGCATTCAAATCTTATATTAACATATTGATTTTAAAGAGCCTTTGAACATTCTGTTTAACTGAGCTAAATACATTTTAGGTGCAACAAAGCAAAACGCCATGCAAAGTCTTATAGTTGTCACATAGAAAAGCCTGTCCCCTGCCAGAATGCTGCAGAGAAGGACCCTTAAGATGGCGGTCAGACATACAGCCACAATCTGACTGTCCTTAGTCAAAGCAATCCAATAAGTAGGGAGCATGAACTTTACTGAGTGCAAGCCTAAAGATTTGCCTCAACAAGGGGTGACAACGCAGCTGTCCAAGGGTGGCGACACTGATCCTCCACAAATACATTGGAGGAGTGAGAGTAGCCATCCTAAAGGTGGCCATACACCTCTCAACCATTGTACAACTTTTTTTGTCCAGACATCTCACCCTCACTCAATTTTCATTCAATTAGCCCATCATGCACAGACCAATGTAGTTCCCAATTAACGCTCGTCAGCACCACTAACTGGCCGATTTTCATTGATTGAACGACCAAATTTTAGTTGGAGCATGTGCAGTTTTTATCTTCAGATTTTTGTTGTGCAACAACGCCACTAACCGTCGATTTTCGTCCAACTAGTCAAAACATTTCTAGCCTGCTTGAAAGACAAAAATCTGCCCGTTGTACAATAATTGATGTTGTGCACTTCCCATCATCTGGCAGATTTTCTGGCGAAAACGCAATCAGATCCAGATAATTGTAAGGTGTATAGTCACCTTAAGACAGGAAGTGTGTTACTGGGCAGATCATCAGGTGAAAACAAAAGAAAAAAAAACTTACAGGGTTATTCACAAAAGGGTGAAGAGTTTGGAGAAGGGAGGAGAAGTGAACAATCTAGGGCAAAATAGCTGAACTGGAAAGTGAGCTGAATTGGGGAATGTTTCCAAATCAGCTATGCTGTCATAGATTGTTTACTTCTCCTGCCTTCTCCAAACTCTTCACCCTTTAGTTAAAAACCCTGTAAGAAAAGAAAACTAATGCAGCCACTACATCTAAGGTTTGGTAAGTTGCAATATACATATATATATGTTTTAAGGAGGGGGTTAGATACACTTCATGGTGGTGTTTAAAGTGTATTTTCAGCCATTTAAAAAAAAAAACACACAAAAAAAATCAAAACATAAAACAAAAAGCTTTTTTTTAACTTTAGTATAAAGTGGGGAAGGGTTAGAATCCCTGGTGGATTTTACTGCTATCCAGGGCTCCATTAGAGAGAAATGCTTTTACTTCCTGTTCTGCTGATAACATTTTCACCAGACAGGAAGTGAGAGTAAATTTTAAACAGAAACACAGATTTTTTTTCTTTAGTTGAGTAGGGGATGGCTAGAATCCCTGCCAGCTACTTATTTCTGTCAGCAAAAAGATAACAGCCGTTCTAACCCCTTCCCACTCTTCCCAAAACTGAATGAAAATGTTTTGGCCGGACTTACATTTCAAGGATGCAAAGGCCTTAAATGGCACCTGAGGGTTACAGAAACTCCTTTAAACTATCTTGGACCCGTTGTGCCAAACACGTAGCACCTTATTAGCTTCAATATTTCCCTTGGTCTCAAAGGGGCCATGGGGGAAAATAGTAAAATCAAAAATGTAAGCAACGGTACACCAATAATGATCACATGCACAAAAGAGGGAAAAACACAACCCCCCCAAATTAAAACCAATACCCCCTCTAAATAAAGATCCTTTCCGAAGAGAAAATCATCTAAGCAGCTCAATAAGTGAAACTATGAGAAAAATTTGTAATTTCTGTTCTAAATCAATTCAACCAAAATGACTTAACATTGGTTACAGCTCATATAGAGACCATATTGTTTCTTGCTGTTGGGGGGGTACTCACTGACCACAGTACTGGGCACTCTGCATGCAGTCCTGAATGCTAAAGGGACTTGTGCACTAAGCTTTGGGTCGGTTTCTCTTTATGCAGCAAAATGTGTTATAATATATCATGATATAATATTATATTATAAAACAATATATATTAAAAGTATCATTATAATATATTGTATAATGTAGCAGTTATGTATAAGACATCCAGAGCTGTGTGTACCTAGACTTTTGAAAATGAAGTACAACTAATATCCTATAGATGTCACTGTTGCTTTGGATGGTGCTTTGATAAACTATTCTAAGATAATGCCAGTGACACCTACAAGAATGTCATTCATTTTTTTTCTTTTAGAAACATTATTAGTTTTATAAGGCATTTATTCTTTATTAGCCCATAAATATATGTTTTTTTTCTCATCTCATAAAGCCTCGCTTTTTCCAATGTAAAAAATATTTTAGAACCACAAACTGTCCGTGGCTAAGTAGGTGTTAGATAGTATTTAATTTTTGTAGCAACTTTGGTTCTTTTTACTTCTACAGTTTTTATTAAAAAAAAATAAGACTGTTCTATTGAATAAAATGAGTAGTGGATAATGCATTTTTGTGGTGTATTTATGGTTACCTGCTGTATTTTTTTTTCTGGTAAATCAATGTGTCAAAGTCATTGTG